TTTATTGGGACAGAGTCTTGCTCTGTCACCGAGGCTGGAGTGCAATGTGCAATCTCTGCTCACTGCAACTTCTGCCTCCAGGGTTCAGGCGATTTTCCTGTCTCAGCCTCCAGAGTATCTGGGATTACAGGCATGTGCCACCACGCCTGGCTAATTTTTGTGTTTTTAGTAGAGACGTGGTTTCTCCATGTTGGCCTGACTGGTCTCCAACTCCTAACCTCAGGTGATCCACCAGCCTTGGCCTCCCAAAGTGCTGGGATTACAGGCATGAGCCACTGCTCCTGGCCTGGCAAATTTTTTTGTAAAGAGGTTCAAATAGTAAAGATTTTAGGCTTAGGGATGTTCACCTCCTGTTGCGACTACTCAGCTCTGTGAGCTCTGTCACTGTAGCCTGAAAACAACTACAGACAGTAGGTACATGAATGAGGGTGGCTATGTTCTGATAAAACTTTATTTTACAAAAACAGTCGATGGGCAGTTTGGCCATGGGCTTAGTACCCTATCCCCTATCCAAATTGCATTAATAAATACTGGGTTTTTTTGGTAAAAAATCATTTAAAAATCTCATGCAGCAGCTTTTAATCCTGGCTGTATATTAGAATCACTCGGGGGGCAGAGAGACTTCCAAAAAATGCAGTTGCCCAGGCCCCACCCTTGGTCAATTTAATCAGAGTTTCTAGGTGTGGGGCCCCCAGGCATTAGTGCTTTTTGAAGGTTTCCCTGCAGGAAACTTAATCATGTACTGTATATTAGGTAATATTATTGGTTTAATGTTCAGTTTCTTTGGTGTTTTAATGGTTCTGTAGGTAGGTGGGAGGCAGATATGTGCTAACACAGCGTAAAGGATTGCAGTGTCTGCAACTGACTTTCAGAAAAAGAGAGTGTGTGTCTGCATGTATGTACGCACTCGTGCTTGTTAGAGAAAAATCAAATATGATAATGTAAAAATTTAACAATTAGTGAATGTAGGTGATTGCTATGGGGTTTACAACATACTGATATTCAATTCTTCTGTAGTTATAAAGTTTGTAAAAATTCATTGGGAAAGAGGACTACCAAAGTTACTGCAGCGTGCAGCCAGGACTGGGAACTTATGCCCAGGGACATATCCACTTCTTGGGGGGAGTTCTATTGCTAAAATCATATAATGCTTTTCAAAATATGTTCTTTGGATGGAGTTTCCTGAAGTTTGAGTGTTTGTGGAGCAAAGTGTACCTGTAATCTATGTTACATGTAAATTTTTGGTGCCGCTAAAGAAATATTATAGAAAGAATGTATTATATCCTACAATCTATTACAGTCAGCTTGCCATTCAAAGGCTGGGGATTGGGTCTGTGGGTTATTCTGCTGTTCAAATATAAAGTTTCTCAGCAAGGCAATTTTTACTTCTATGGAAGGGTACATTTCACTGATGGGGCAATGGTAAGTGACACCTGAACAAGGGAGAGGAAGGAGTTCTTTTCCTTGATGCAGGTAGCCCCTATTGCTGTGTCCTTCCTCTATTGGCTAAGGTTAGATCACACAGTCAGCTAATTCTGATTGGCTGTTTTAAAGGGAGCAAGGGTATGAGTAGTTTGAGTGGCGGGGTGAGCAATTTGGTGGGAAGGACAGTTACTGAACACGTAACTAAAGGTGACTCAGGTCAAATCAGGTGACCAGGGGAACAGATGTGAATTACTGATTAGAACTGGTGGGAAAGTTGTTTACTAACCTAAGGGTAAGGGAGAGAAGAGAACCAGGAAGTTAAACTTTAAAATGGAGAACGAAAAACAGGAGAGCTGAACATGCCGATACACTGGTTCTTTGGAGAGGATCTCAGAACTTATTGTACTTAACAATTTACAGGCTAAAACCTTTGAAAGGGAATTTATTATATCCTACAATCTGTTACAGTCAGCTTGCCATTCAAAGGCTGGGGGTTGGGTCTGTGGGTTATTCTGCTGTTCGTCCCACTGTGCACATACTGACTCTCTTTTGGGCATGAAGTCCTGAAATGTCATATACACCAGAGGACAGCCAAGGGAAGATGGGCGGAGCAGCCCCCAGCTGTTGGGAATGGGGATACTTGCTTGGACTTCTTTGGTGATAGAGGCTAAAAATGTTGAACCAATTACAGTTTGGGGGTAAATGTGAGATTCATTATTATTCTGACTTTCTTGGTCCCGTTTGTTAGAAAATAGTGAGTTCTCTGCACCTGATGGTATTTGGGACCTGAGAGGTTTTGAACAAAGACTTGTGAATTGAATGATTACTTTGAAATAAATTTTTGTGAGGCTTTTAAAGGGACCTGGTTTCTGATACCAATTCACTGGTCATGGGACTTCATTAGTGACAAAATAAAGCAATCAAACCATGACTCTGTGAACTAAAATATACAAAATGAGACTGCTTCACTAAATTAACAAGAAAGAAAAATGTTTTGTTTTGCTTTGTTTTGTGTTTGAGATGGAGCCTCGCTTTGTTGCCCAGGTTGGAGTGCAATGGCGCAATCTCGGCTCCCTGCATCCTCCACCTCCCAGGTTCAAGGATTCTCCTGCCTCAGCCTCCCGAGTAGCTGGGACTACAGGTGTGCACCACCACGCCTGGCTATTTTTTTGTATTTTTAATAGGAGACAGGGTTTCGCCATGTTGGCCAGGCTGGTCTCAAACTCCTGGCCTCAGGTGATCTACCCACCTTGGCCTCCCGAAGTGCTGGCATTACAGGCGTGAACCACTGCACCCAGCCTAGAGGTTTTTTTTTTTTTTTTTTTTTTTGTATGTAGAAGGCAGTGGTCAGAATTTTTAATGCTCACACTTAGATGTGTGTGAAGAAGTTTAAAAAATGTTCACACAAACTACTCTTAAATTTTTCAACTCTTAGAAAACCACTAGTCTGGCTGTTGGCCAGCACCGTGCTGTCCTGTCCTGGGACCCACAAGCCTAGGGGACTGCTAGAGAGTTAAGCCACCACCGTTTGTTAATAGAAAGCAAATCAGAGAAGGGAGAGAAGATTTAGAATACTTGCCTCCCACATTTCTTCGGCATTGACATTGCTGTGTATTTGTGTATGAAATATCAATATGTTAAAAATTTTTTTCTGATGACAAAAACAGTGTAGGTTCATTATAGTAGGAAAATGCAGAAACAGATGTAGAAAAAAATGACCCACAGCCCTACCATCTGGTGACCTCTTGTACAGTCTTAGTGGATGCCTGGGGCAGGGAACAGGGGCAGGTTGCTCAGGTGCGCTGATATTTAGCATTCATTGCTCTGCCGTCGGTGGGTGGTTAGGGAGCACTCGCTCTGGGCCAGTCCCGAGCCCCTCCTGCACATTTAGGGCACAAAAGGAGATGCAAAGACCGGCTGTGCCTGCCCTGGTCTTCAGCAGAAAGGTTTTTCTTTCAGAAGCAGAGAGGACGGATGCAACATGGGCACATTGTCCCTGCCTCTCCTGCAAGATTCAACCCCACATCCTTCTCCTCTGAAACTGTGAGCCCCATAAGTCAGGCTGCAATGTGTGAGGGAAAGAGCGGGAGCCTTTGCGGGCAGAATAGTCCTGTGTGCACATGCTTGGTGGCTTTGGTCTGAGGCATATTGCCTTTTTGAGCCTCAATGTTCCTATCTGTAAAATGGGAATCAAGATAAGTAACTCCTCATGGAGAGTGGGGAATTTGGAATTTGGGGAGTTGTATATAAAGGGTCTGGCTGTTTACTAGCCCCCTGGTACATAGTATGCTTCTGATAATCACTGGCTTTTTCTTTTTGGAGACATACCTGGCTCTGTTGCCCAGGCTGGAGTGCAGTGGTGTGATCTCAGCTCACTGCAACCTCCACTTCCCAAGATCAAATCATCCTCCCATCTCAGCCTCCCGAGTAGCTGGGACTACAGGCACATGCCACCACACCCAGCTAATTTTTGTGTTTTGTCTGTAGAGACAAGGTTTTGCACTGTTGCCCAGACTATTCTCAAACTTCTGAGCTCAAGCACCTCAGCCACCCAAAGTGCTGGGATTACAGGCATGAGCCACCACTCCTGGCTTAATCAGTTGTACTTGTTCATTTTTAACCATGGATTTAGGGCATGTTTTGGGGTGGATGCATGGGTGGCTGAATGAATGAATGAATGAATGACGGGGTGGGTGCACAGTAGAAAGTGGTTTTGGAGAGCAGAGCAGCTGTCTGGCTTTTGGAGCAGGTGCTCTCCCCCGCCTCCGCCCCACCGTCAGCTAAGATGAGTTCTCCCTGGGCTGGAGAAAAGCCATTTGGCTTCTTTTTTTGTCCCCTAAGGATGAGCTGTGTGGCCCAGACCCTTCCCTGTCGGACGAGCTGACCTCCATCCTCAACGAGCTCACTCAGCTGAGCAAAAGTGAGCACTGCAAAGTGGCCCTCAGAGCCCGGCAGGTAGGGTCGTGGGGTGCAGTCCCCATAGTGTGCACTTCCCCCACCCTCCTGTGTGGCCCCTACCATGCTCAGCCCTCACCGTGCCCGGTCCCACCGTGCTGCCGCCCGTGTCCCAGCCTCTGCCTTCTCCCCTGGGAGATTGGCTCACGCCAGCTCCCCCGTCCCTCCCACTGCAGATCCTGATTGCCTCCCACCTCCCCTCCTACGAGCTGCGGCACAACCAGGTGGAGTCCATTTTCCTGTCTGCCATTGACATGTATGGCCACCAGTTCTGCCCTGAGAACCTCAAGGTGAGCCCGTCTCCTTCTTCCACTTTCTCTGGAGCGCCCACCATGGCCCAGGTGGGGGTCTCTGGGGAAACGGCTCCTCCTGCCCTGCAGGTACTCAGTGGGGTGCAGGGCACAGCCACAGATGCAGACGGTTCTGTCCAGTGTGGCCAGGGCTGCCTGAGGGGGATCCTGGGGAGACTCTAGGAAAGGTGGGCATGGAGCCCAGTCCTGCAGGAGGGACAGTGTGACAGCAGCGGGGGCTCACCTGGTGCAGTTTTAAAAACCCAGCCTTGATGGAGCATATCTGGAAGCTGTGAGCCCTGCGTGGCTGAGTCATGGCCTCAGCTTCCCTCGTCCTAGACTCTGGCTAGTCATCCCAGGCGCCATCTTCACTGTCAGCTCTGCTGTGATTAAATAGGGGAGGAGCCCAGCACACTGCAGGGCACTGATTGCTTTTAGTGATTGAAACATGACTTCTCCCTGCTCCCACACTGGTGGTTAAAAAACTTATTCACTGGCTGGGCGTGGTGGCTCACACTGTAATACCAGCACTCGGGAGGCCAAAACTGGAGGATCACTTGAGCCCAGGAATTTGAGACCAGCCTGGGCAACATAGTGAGACCCTATCTCTAAAAAAAAAAAAAAAAAATGAGCCAGGCATGGTGATGCCCACTCTAGTCCCAGCTACTCCAGAGGTTGACGTGGGAGGATCGCTTCAGCCTGGGAGGTGGAGGCTGCATTGAGCTGTGATCACACCATTGCACCCCAGCTTGTCTCAGATAAACACAAAGAAAAACCTGAAACTTGTTCACATTGACTGTTGTTTTCCCTTTTTATTTCCCACAGAAATTAATACTTTCGGAAACAACCATCTTCGACGTCCTGCCTTCTTTCTTCTATCACGCTAACAAAGTCGTGTGCATGGCGTCCTTGGAGGTAAGCAGGAGAGGCCCAGAGAACAGCACTGACCAGGGCAGTTTGAGCATTCACTGCCGGCCACCTTGCATCTGACCCTAGGCCACGCCCCTGGTGAATGCGATCCTATCCTTTCCTCTACAAGGTAGGTAATCGTCCCATCTTACGGAGGAAGGAACTGAGGCTCAGAGAGGTGAAGTGACTTATGCAACATCACACAGCCAGGAAGTGGCAGAACCAGGTTTTGCACGACTAAGTCTGTCTCATTCCAGACTCCATGCTAGTCACCACTGCTGTCCTACGTGTCATTCCAGCCTCTTCCAGGCAGGACACAGTTAAATACTAATCCCTCAAAGCCAAGTCTGAGGCACCTCACGTGAACTTTCTGACTCATGTGCATTAAATACCTTTGAAAGACTTTTCTGCTTCAAACTACCAGAGCCAGAGGAGCCCAGATGACAACTTAAGGTGATGACCCCCACCCCCGTCAAGTGTGGTCAAAGGGCATGGCTGGTAGCAACAAAACCCAGATTAGAACCAGGTGATCCCTGGGAGCAAGAATTCAGGTCTTGAATTCAGGAACCAAGAGGTGTTGTGTTGGTTCTAGGAAATCAGTTTTAAATCTTTTATTATTATTTGTTTGAGACTCACTCTGGTGCCTAGGCTGGAGTGCAGTGGCGTGATCTTGGCTCACTGCAGCCTCTGCGTCCTGGATTCAAGTGATTCTCCTTCCTCAGCCTCCCCAGTAGCTGGAACTACGGGGCGCACCACCACGCCTGGCTGATTTTTGTATGTTTAGTAGTGACAGTGCTTTATCATGTCAGCCAGGCTGGTCTGGAACTCCTGACCTTCATTGATCTGCCTGCCTCAGCCTCCCAATAAATCTGCCCTTTTAGAATCCTTTTAGGAAAATATGAGATGCTGTCTTGTGTTTTTAACATGGCCCCCTTTCTCTGGACTGCTTTGCTGGTGCTAGTTTTTCCAATATTATTTATCTTCTGAGCTCAGGGTCTCAGTCCCCTGTTGCCCCCACTTGCTCTTCTGCATCCTTGCGAGCCTGTGAGTCACACAGTGAGATGGTTTCCTGGGCCTTCATGGAGACCATCTTGGACTTCTGAGCATATTATAGCCACAGGGTCTCCTGGGCCTGCAGCTTTCACCCGTCTGTGAGTTTCACCTCGGGAAGAATCTTTCTCAGGCCTCATTCTTTGTTTCTAACAGTGAGACCTAATACACCTCTTCTGTAGTTACTTTAAAAACAACTTTTGTTTTTTTAGAGTCAGGGCTTGCCATGTGGCCCAGTCTGGATTTGAACTTCTGGGTTCAGGCCATCCTCCTGCCTCAGCCTTCCCAGTAGCTGGGACTACAGGTGCATGTCACCATGCTTGGCTTATAGTTACTTTTTAAAGTGCTAAATACTATTTGTGTCAATTAGAGATTGTTCTTGGATGCTTTTGGCTTTTTTTGTTTATTTGTTTTTCTACCACGCTCAGCTAATTTTTATATTTTTAGTAGAGATGGGGTTTTGCTATGTTGCCCAGGCTGGCCTGGAATTCCTGGGCTCAAGCCATCCACCTGCCTTGGCTCCCCAGAGTACTAGGATTACAGGCGTGCGCCACCATGCCTGGCCCCATTCTTAACAAGGAATGGTGGGAACCTTCCCCAAATTCAAGTTCTCCAAAGCTGGCCAAGGACAAGTTTTTTTTTTTGAAATGAAGTCTTGCTCTGTCGCCAGGCTGGAGTGCAGTGGTGTGATCTCGGCTCACTGCAATCTCTGTCTCCCAGTTCAAGTGATTCTCCTGCCTCAGCCTCCCAAATAACTGGGACTACAGGCATGTGCCATCATGCCCAGCTAATTTTTGTATTTTTAGTACAGACAGGGTTTCACCATGTTGGCCAGGATGATCTTGATCTCCTGACCTCATGATTCACCTGCCTCAGCCTCCCAAAGTGCTGAGATTACAGGCCTGAGCCACCGTGCTCAGCCAAGGGCAAATCTTTTAGTGGAAAGCCATGACGTCTGCTATGTTAGCTCCTGCTGCGCAGTTCCCACATTTCCTGTTGAGTTGAGAAGCTTCCAGTGTTGAAACTCTAGAACTGCATTGTCCACTATGGCAGCCACTGGCCACATGAGGTTAGTGAGCGCTTGAACTGCACCCAGTCTGAATCAAGCTGTGCTCTAAATTCCAAAGATTTAGTACTGAATGGAGAAAAGAATGTAAACCATCTCAATAATTTCTTATATTGATTACATGTTGAAATGATAATATGTGGGTATTTGGGGTAAAATAAAATATGTTATTAAAATTATTTTTTGTTATCTTTTTTCTAAGTGGTTACTAGAAAATTTTATATTATTGGCCAGATGTGGTGACTCATGCCTGTAATCCAGCACTTTAGGAGGCTGAGGTAAGAGAATCACTTGAGTTCAGAAGTTACAGACCAGCCTGGGCAACATAGCAAAACCCTGGTTTTTCTAAAAAAAAAAAAAAAAAAAATTAGCCAGGTGTGGTGGTGCCTGTAGTCCCAGTTACTTGGGAGGCCGAGGCAGGAAGATTCCTTGAGCTCAGGAGTTCAAGGCTGCAGTGAGCTATGATCTTACCACTATACTCCAGCCTGGGTGATGGAGTGAGTCCCTGTCTCAAAAGTAAATTAGTAAAATAAAATAAACTTACATACACAGCTTGTGTTATATTTCTGTTGGATAGCACTACTCTAAGGCAGCAGCTGATAAACTATAGACAACAGCCATATTTGGCCCACTGCCTGTTTCCATAAAGTTTCATCAGAACACAGCCATGCCCATTCATTTACATATTGTCCACCACTACTTCCGTGCTAACGGCAGAACTGAGTAGTTGCAACAGAGATGGTACGCCTCACAAAGCCTAAAATATTTTTTACCTCTCTCTTACAGAGGTTCATCAACTCCTGCTCTAGAGTTTAGAGTGGATTTTGTGTAACTACTAACATTCTGAAATGTGAGCAAATTTACTCTTAACTGCTGCTTAGTAATTTTTTTTTAATTGAGTTAGGGTTTTTCTCTGTTGCCCAGGCTGAAGTGCACTGGTGCTATCATAGCACATTGCAGCCTCAACATCCTGGGCTCAAGCGATCCTCCCACCTCAGCCTCCTGAGTAACTGGACTATAGGCACCTGGCCCCACACCCAGCTAGTTTTTGTATTTTTAGTAGACATGGGATTTTGCCATCTTGCCCAGACTGGTCTCAAACTTGTGGGTTCAAGTGATCTACCTGCCCTGGCCTGCCAAAATGCTGGAATTGCAGGCGTGAGCCACCACACCCAGCCTGCTTAGAGGTAGATCTTTTAGAGGTAATTTCTGGTACCCCTTCCCTGTGAGTGCCCCCTGAGAGAATGTCTGCTGTGTTTCTGCCCTGTCAGGTTTACGTGCGGAGGGGCTACATCGCCTATGAGTTAAACAGCCTGCAGCACCGGCAGCTCCCTGACGGCACCTGCGTGGTGGAATTTCAGTTCATGCTGCCCTCCTCTCACCCAAACCGGTACGGAGCGGTACACACCCGGGGATGGCCTGTGTTTCTTTTCTCCCTGACCTCTGTTGTCCTCTCTCCAGAAGGACCCAGCAAGTGTTTGGGCACGCTGCTGGGGAGACATCAGCGATACACACCTCCCCTGTGGGAGCTCCCACAGCATCAGTCTCTCCCCTCTAACACTGCGATAATGCAGAGCCCACCTCCTACACCTGCACCTTTCAGGACGGTAGCCATGTGTGCCTGTTTACATTAAAATGACTGGAAATCGGCCGGGCACAGTGGCTCACGCCTGTAATCCCAGCACTTTGGGAGGC